TTGAGGACACTTTCTATGCAAAGATTTTCTTGTCCGTTTTTCGTAACGTAACTAAACCAAGATTGCATGTCCCACAACAACTCACAAAACATTTCGAAATTATTTTGTCTAAGGTTGTGTTATAGGACCTGGTAAGATGAATTAATGATGCAAAAATGGAGAATGGAAAGCGACCCAGCACCTGATTTCATCAAACTCTTCGTAACTTACGATGCATCGCTACGATGCGTCGCAGCTGCGACGCGTCCTGCGATCCATTTCACGAAACATGTCGTAAGTGCGACGCGTCGTAGATGTGTATTTATAGCACAACTCGGTGACTGTTTTACATGTATGTATTTAGTCAGCGCACAGTAAATACTCGTCTGATATTCAACAAAGATTCGTCGGATCTCAGCTCGAAATTGTTAGAACGTAAAACAAAATGGCAGTCGTGCGATGCAAGTTTGAAGGAAAACAAGCTCTCAGTGCACTGTATAGCTACTTTGAAATTCAACTGCAATATTCCAGTCTAATTCATAATTATTCAATGAATTTTCCATAACTTTACACACATTGCCTTGGTATTATGATCTCGTTTATGTAATGTTTATGGCATTAAACTGGTTAAGAAAGGGACTCTTCTTATTTTGCGATGACTACTAGACACGTCGTAACTTGCGACGTGTTTTAAGCCGTCGTCAAGGAACTTACGACGCGTTCAACACATCGCAACTTTCGTGAAATGGATGATACGACACGTCGCAAGTTGCAACGTGTTACACGTTGTAACTCGAGTTGTGACGCATCGCAACACTTCGTGAAATTGGGTGCTGGATGAAATAAGAGCCCCAAGAGTGGCGCTACATTGCTTAAAATGTAACGAAACTAACCGTGGAATTGCCAAAATACAAACAACTTGATGAGAAAGAAGACACATGATGGAAAACCATCAAACAGGCTTAAACATTACACATTTGTACACTTATGTATACACACACTGAAGACCAGTTATATTCAAAATGTGCCTGTAGTTAAGTCCTTCAAGAGAAACCCATCCACACAATCTATTCTACACACACAAAGGCTAAGCACTCAGGGACTTGAAAGCCGCATTATTTGTCCACCATTTGAATATGGATCCAGAGCTGTTTGGCAGACTGGTCTTCCTTTAAGCCGGGAACAATGGCGGACAGCGACAAGAGAGCACGTCTTAAGAGAGTTGTATTGACTTGTGCTCAGGGAAACGAGCGGTATACATGAGAAACACAGATCGAAGGTGGTGGAGTGGATGTCGCGCCAATGTCATTTTTTTTCTTCTGCGTCATGTTTTTCTTCTGCGCCTGATGTTCTTTTTAGATGTTTGGCCTCGCGATGGCGTACGGTACATTTGGCAACTAATAGAACAGTTCGACATCAAGGCCCAGTGCTCTGGAATAAAATCACTCCAGTACCTTACTTTAGAAGTATGCATGGTTTTAAAAAGTAGCTAAAAAATATTCTTATATCCTAATAGTTTATTTATGCTTAGAATTCAGTACATGTATTACATTCTATCATTATTGTAGATATTACAATGCAGTCATAAACATGCCTAGGCCTACTTAGATTTTCTTTTTATTCGCGAGTTGTGTATATACATGTATTGCATTGAAAAAGCACCTTGTTTTATTCTGGAATTCAGCTGTACAGTCATTTACCTTTTGTATTATTTTCTCTTTTCTATGCCTTGTAATTATAGTAGTACATGTATGTATGTATATTAACGTGTTAAATAAGGAACCAGGCCACGTACAAGCATTTGCATTTTGCCTGGTATCCGCCATTTATCACCGTGGCCCTGTGCATATTTGTAAATAACTGTATGACATTATTTATTGTGATGTATGGAAATATAACAATATCAATACCAATACCAACTATGTGCTGGGTTGCAAGAAATAGCTTAAAACCTAACAAAACAAAACAAAAACACTCAGACATGAGATAAAGAAACACCCCCCCCCCCCTCCACAAAAAAGGAAAAAAATAATAATAAAAATAATAAAACTGAAAGTATTGGACACAACATATTGCCAGCAGCTTGCATGATTATTACTATTAGTAATTAAAGAAACAGGAAATTACAATTCCTACAAAGAGCCAAGGGATCCAGCTATATAAAAAAAGAAAAATTAATAAAAAGTCACAAGACAATGTAAGAAGTAGATTGATTTTATCCCTAACCTCCAAACTCCATCAAAAACAATTTCCCATTTTGGTGCATTTGGGGGGACTTGGTCCTGCAGGCCTGGTTCAGTGACTAAATATTGATGGAGTATGATGGAATGGAGGCCTAAAGCAAAGCATGCATTGGAAGCAGAGTGATTGATGGATTTCGGCGAACTTGCATAGTCCAATACTTGGTAAAAAACAGTTAGGGACATTTTTTGGGTGGTTTTAGTAATAATCATTGTAGCTTGAATAATTGCTCCCTTCTGGTAATTTTTTTGTGCTGTTAATAGTTCCCGCAGTAGTACGTTACATTTAATATCCCCTTTGGATTGATTAAAAACCATGTCGATTTAAGTCGCTTGAGGGGTACATGTAAACTAATATACTTCTGTCACAAAAGCAGAATAAACGGCAACATTTGGCCGCAGTAATTTAGTAAATCTCGCCTCCGGAGATAATCAGGCCTCCAGAGATAATCACAGTACATGTATTGGTGCTTTTAATACTAATGGCCTATAAAAGTCGTCACCGGTAAATGCATTTTTTTAAATTCACGCTAAGAATGCTTGATGCTTGTGAAAAGAAAATGGGTTGATGGCCAATGTCACTTTTTCACGGCCAGCCGTTTATAAATGGACACTCAAATTGTATCACTGAGTAAAAGCATTTTTCCATGGACTAAATCCGGCACGTACAATACAAAGACAATACAATGTACACGGTGTAACAAGCTTTTCATGCAAATGGCAAACGTTGTATAGGCTTTTTTTTTGCTACATTCTAAAAGTTAAAAGGGCCCAAGTACAAAAGTGCATGTACAATGGACCAAGAACCTTTTTAGCTGTTTCGGAGTACATGCTCCGAAACAGCTTTTGTTTTCGTAATTTTTTTTTTTTTTTTATAAATTTTAGTTCTCATTTTTTAGTCTCCTCTCCATACATTGTACATGTAGGTTTTGTACACATGTTTTCGTCTGCCCATACACTTTGGCACTTTCGTAAATCCGATGGACTTCAGACTTGGCACATACTTAGACCATCACCCACGGATGTCCTAGAAGAATTTTGTCACAATGACGTCATCAGGTGTCAAGTTATTAAACATGCATTTTGTGGCCATAGACTTTCTACACATTCGGAGTTCATGGTAAACTCAGGTTACAGGGTCTCACTACCTGTCCACAGAGGCCTCTTGGTCTGGACTGCAGACATGGCAGAGACGTCCTGAAGTTAATTCCCAAAAGAGGGAGGTAACGTACTGCTGTACTTTGACCCATATATGGCGGATTTCATATTACTTGTACTTGCAGTGTTGTTTTCTTGACTTTGGCCTTATTTAATATGTTTTATCAAACTGTTGATCCAATTTCCTTATTTTCAGCAAGTTCAATTCTTAGTTATACAGGTAGTACTTTGTTCTGTTTATTGTACCCATTAAAGATATAGTCCATCATTTGTAATGTGTGCATTTTGTTCGTTTGAAGCAACAAAAGAGTTCAAAATCTAATGAAGGATACTGAACAACTAACCTGATGAAGGTTCAGTTCAGCTTCAGCTGTATATTCCGAGAAAAACAGCATTCTGGGATCTCATTTCAAATCAAAAGTTGCCGAAACATGTTTTGAATTGGGCCTGAATTCAGTGTCCGAGACACGTTCTCACTGAGCTGATTGCAGCTACATGTATACGCGATGTCACGACAATTTTCAACAATAATTACGCCAGTTACTTTTCAGATTGCTGCAAATGATGGACTATAGCTTTAACAAAAAACTTGTCTACATTGTATACATGGATGTGTTACACATGAAAATCTAACAGACGGCGGTTATTTCAAACAGACGAAACAGCTTGTGTTTGTCCACATGTATTGTACACAATTCTAGTTTAGGATATTTCTTGTAAGAACTAAGAACATTTATGGAGAACTTTTTGGTAAACCAAGAACTTATTAATAATTGCTTGCTGTTACTAATGCACTTGCCAGAAGGGTCTGAATGTTTGCTATCAGCCCGATCTTTCTCAAAGGATGAACCAAGAATGTTTAAAATCAATTTCTAGTAAGAACCGAAAAACCTTTTTTTTGAGAACTTTGAAGGAACTAAGAATTGGGATGTGCATCGAAACCGGGTTCCCGAGCACCCGATCGTTGATGTCAGAAACCAGTTCCAGATTATGGAATCGAGAACTCTTAAACAACTTTATATTTTACAAAATGTACTTAGTAACTTCTCAGACAATGAAAAAGAAAGGTTTTTTATGTCATTTGTAGAGACTTTTCCAAATGAAAACCAGGCTATACGGGAAAACAAAACATATTTCATGTTTATGACGCTTGCGGAAGTTGCAGTTTACATCGTGAAGCTATAAAGCTCACTGTACACACTTGTATCTTGCTGTATTGATGCACTGATGTGGTAGTATTATCGTGCGGACCTTTATGAACAATCTGAACAGCAACTTCTGAGATTTGAATTTTATATAGTATCCGTGAATTTTTTTCAATCGGGTGCCTGGTTCCCACGCTACCCGTAAATGCACACCACTAACTAAGAACTTTGTCATGATTTGACCTTTATGAAGAACTTTTGCAAGAACCAAGAACTTTGTATTGAACTTTTTGCTACCATGGTTTCCCATCTGGCTGCCTAACTGGTGTTCAACTCCACCCACTTGGGGTTGCTTAACTTTTTAAAGAAAAGTTAAACTACAAAAAGTTACAACGAAACATTACAGGAAGAACCAAGTACATCTTTGAAGAACTTTGCCAAGTCCAAGAACTTTGCTTAGAACCAAACTTCTACTCACCATTTGGCTGCCTGACTGGGGTTCAGTTCCGCCCACCTTAGGTCGCTTAATCCACCATCCGTTGTCCTGGCAGTAAGCGTTCATAACGAGAAGGGGAAAGTACAGCAGCGTGACCCACGCCTCCCAAATTTCAACCTCGCCCGGCGAGTTCCAAACCACGACGATCAGAATCCAAATATAGGCAAAGATGGACCAGACCGAAGTCACCATAAACACGCCAAACTCCTTGACTTTCTTGGCGTCGGGCGAAGGCACACTGGAGATACATATAGCGGTGATGATAAGAAGATTGAAAGCGGCACTGCCGATTATGGTAAACGTTCCCAAACTGTCTTGGGGGTTGTTAGGGTCGTAGTCTTGCACGTGCTGGCACGTCTCCAGGATGTTCAGGAGGATTTCAGGGGCGCTGCTGCCTAACGCCATGAGAGTCAAGTTGGCCACGGTCTCGTTCCAGATGAGAACCTCTTTCTCCACGTGTTTTTTGCTCTCCGAGTCCCAGCGGAGAATCTTCCGCTTCTTGCTCGTGATCATTTCAATGCTGCACATGAAGATGTCGCTCACGATGGCGATGCCGACGAAAATATACAGCATGGCAGTGATGTAGAGAATACCGCGGAGAGGAACTGACCAGAGGTTTTCGGCCGGCAGCAGCAACCAACTCTTGCAGGGTTCTTGATTTGAAGGTACGTACTCCACCACCTGGCCATTGCTATAATTTGTGTAGTGGTTAACGAGCGTTTCCGACTGATTGTTGCCCATCTTGAATCAGCTAAAGCACAAAGACAGATAAAAGGACTGTTATTTTGAATAATTAGTACACATATTAACTCTAACTTCCTAGCATGATTTACTAGGAACCATGCATACCCTGGCAAGTTCCAACACCATATGGGAAACTGCACGCACATATTTCTGACTATGTTTCTGGAGGTGTGCCAACCCAATGTAAAAGACTGATAGTTAGTACTGTACCCATCCTGACAGATTCCAACAAAACATGCCATTGGGGTTTGATGGGTTGAGTTCTGTAAGGGTTAATCCTAAAGCCCGCATACATTCTAGAAGTTTGACAATTTTCAGATTACAGAAAGTTGGAAATGGTTTATCCAGGTATGGAAATTTGAGACTGATCAATTAAAAAAAATTGTTTTGCTTTGGATGATCTCTCTTCAGAAAAAAATATACAACAAATTTGTATTTTTTTGTGGATGAACTTAAAAAATTCTGTCACTTTTTCTTTGAAAACAAAAAGAAATAAGATGTGATTTAAAGCATATAAAGATCAACAAGTTATCTAGTTCACGCCAAAAAAAATATTCTAGAAAGGTTTTGAAACATCTTCAGAAATATCTAAGACATTTTACCTATTCCTACTGGTCGAAAGCCCGCCACGTGGTTGGTTTCATTAAACGGTTGATAAAACACCGACTGGTTTTGAACACTTTTTAAGGTACCGCTGCATTCTGCGGCACATCGCAGAATATCTCCATAAAAGGAGATTATATCTCCATATAAGGACATTTTTAGTACTACTCATGTGCGGTGCATACCATAAACATAGCCCGAGGGATGTTTAAAAAAACATTAAGAAAAATTGTTGATCAAAATTTTTGGAAATTTTTAATTTTTGAGTTTTATCTCCCTCAAAACGTAGACTTTGCAAAATAATACAGCACTGGCAGAAAATTAAACAATTTTTTTGCATTTCTTTTCATGTGCAATTCAAAATTCTTGTTATTAAAAAAGCACATTCTTCTTTAGATAAAATCTTGAGGAACAACTTCTTTTAATACCAATTTAGTAATCTTTGCACAATAGGTTCATTCAATGCACACATTAATTTTTATTTTGATGAGGCCGATTAAAAAAATAGAACAGTTTCTTGTCTGGGCTATTTGAGAAAAATGTGCATTTTTTTCTCTCCAAGATGGCAGATTTTCAAAGATTGCGGATTGATTCTTCAACTTTCTCAATTTTTTTGCTGATACAAAATTTGTGTCCTAAGGAGCCATTACCCTTTCTACATGCAAAAAAACCAAAAAGACAATAAATTGACAACAATTTACAAATATAGCAAATGTATGATTTCAAAAAAGGCAGGCAGGAAAAAAGGAAGTGGCCTAATGTCTAACAATATTATAGCAAATCATTGTCCACTATGAATTTCTTACTCATGTGATAAAAATAAGATTTTGTTTGCTTATAACATCTTTAGTTTGGTCATTTTCCTAGTGATACCAAATTTCACTTCTGAAAAAAAAATTCACTTTTTTTCTGTGACTTTACAGAAACATAAATGCAAGTATACCTCAAGTTCTCTGAGTTTAAACACAGGGAAATTGAAAAACAAAAGTCAAACCACCCCCTCCCCCCCAAAAAAAAAAAAAAAACAATAATAATAATAATAAAAATATAACTTTTTTAACATTATGCTTATTTCAACCAAAAGAAATGCTGTAAGTTAAGCAAACACAAATTAAGTAATCTTTGTCTATTTCCGATTTTTTGTAAACATCAATTATTTTCTTTTATTTATAGTTTTGCTGTTGAAAGATAAACAACAAACCAACAAGTAAACGGACAAAACATCAAACGAACAAAACAATACGATATGGGACTTTCATCCGAAATTGTGAAATAAAAAAAAATATAAAAACGATACGGTGCAACTTCGGGGTGTGAAATTTTGGAGCGAGTCACAGCCATATCCGGCCGCGGGGAAACGGAAGGAAATCCCCCATAACGGAAGACCTTTTTTCTCGGTGATTGCACGGACCATCGCGATGTTACGCAACGTTGCCACAGCTAATGCATTTGCGTATTTGATTTTTAATTAACGCTAATGATAAGTGCATTTGTTCAGCAACATAATTGGGCTTTCGTTCTGAAGTAATTTAAATGTGGAAATCACACATTTTCAGTGTATCAAATAACGGTGGAATTATCAAGCCACGTTAACATTACAATTTTTTTTACAAAATATATCGACTTTTTGCCATCTTTTTCTTTAAAAAAAGCAAAAACTCTCATCAATTTTCCTTGCATTTATGAAACATGTTTCGAATACCGTTTCCAAATCAAAGATAAGTCCATCTGCAACCAAACAGCAGACCTACCTTTTGCCACTTGCAGAAAAGCGAGATCATTAATTCCTTTTTCCCCCCCACAGAATTCTGGCAAAAAATATTTGCCACTCGACTAAACTCCAATATCCGATCCTCTCACTCAGCGCGCGTTGCCAGAGTCACCTGCGGGAAACTGGCTCCGAACACCCCATCGCTTGTCCGCTCCTGCCACGCTAACTGCACACGAAGACTCCGTTGATCCGCAAACCGAACAATCCTTGACACCATCCTCAATACATCCGTTCAAAAAACGTCTTCACCATTTTCCCTGTTAAAAAACAATCCAACGTCGTGCAAGAGAAACGGTTCCTCTATATGTCAACCTTTTAGATTTTCCTCATGTATTTTAGCCTTTAATTTCATCGCAAAATATTGTTTCCATGTTGGAGAGCACAAATTTTTTAAGTTGCACAGCTCGCATCTTAGAGAGTCTACTGATGCTGTGAAAGACTTGTTTTGCATAATCGACGACCACATAAAATACAAAATCCACCTCTTCACAATTCGATGACAATAGAAGAACCTGGGTCGCCAGTGCAGCCCCCAGCACACACAGAGACAGTTTATTGGAGAATTGATCGGTAGTCAGTTATACACACACGTTGTCCGTGCGTTATGTTTGATACCGCCTTCATCAACGTGCGTGCTATCGGAGGTTGTGTACATGTATGTACCGCCCGCCGTCAGCGTCGTTAAGGCTGACGTCATTGTTAGCAGATTATTACTGGGATGGCGCAACAAGGAAGGGGCCGATTATAAGGGTCGGGTTAATTGTTGTGAAAACACGTTTATAAACAATGTGAATTGGCAAATTTCTATGTTCCAGTGGCGGTATAAAAAAAAAGATAATTTGCTTTTTTCCCCCATCAGCGTCATAAATATTAAGGTTTTACCCAGGAAGTTAACATGTTTGGAATGGGAATGGCAATAACGGGTATAGGAATGGGATTGGGAATGGTAACGGGTATAGGAATGGGAAAGGGAATGGAAATGGAGGGGAGGGAATAGTAATGGGAATATGAATGGGAATGAGACTGTTAATGGGGGAGGAATTGGGATATACGTCGGAATAGGAAAAGGAATGGCAATGAGATTATGAATGGGAGTATAGGGATGGGAATCGGAGTGGGAAGAGACTGTGAATGGGAATATGCATACTGCATAGGAATGACATTGTAAGTAAGAATGGGAATGGAATGGGAAACAGATTGAGACAGTGAAAGGGAGAGGAATGGGAATAGGAATAGGAATGAGATATGAATGGAATGGGAATGGGAAGAGACTGTGAATGGGAATAGGAATAGGAATGAGATTGTGAGTAAGAATGGGAATGGAATGGGAAACTTAGATTGAGACTGTGAAAGGGGGAGGAATGGGAATGGGAATAGGAATAGGAATGGGAACGAAACTGTGAATGGGGGTAGGATGGGAATGTGAGATTTTGACCATTGAAAATGACGACTTGAAAATCGAGTCTGCTCAAATAAATTGCAAACCATGGACAACTTTGGCCCTTACTAAAATAAAGTCTAAATTTAAAATGAAGTTCTATAAATTTGATATGTTGGTGCGTAATTAAGGTCCCCATGTACACAAAGCTCATTGTGCCTTGTCAAAAGTGATCTAAAGATGATAAAATAAGAATTAATTTACACAGAAAAACAGCACTTATGGTTTTCAGTGAAAACAATCTATGTTTTATAAAAAACACATTGGGTGGGTGAGTGTCACTAACTGGCCACCGTAAGCTGAAATGCAGATAGAATATCAGCTTCTTTCCCTGCGAACGAAAGAGAGGCTAATATTGCAAAGCCAAAAGAATCTTTTCTGTTTGTACCATGCAACAACGGAACAAAATGGCGACTACACGAAAACTTGCAAGGCTGCTTTTTGAGCGCAGTTTTTGCGGTTTGACCGAAGCCTAACACATCCGTAAAGCGGCTTTCGCGAAGAAAAGCTTACATGGGTTCTAAAGACGGCTTTTGACTGGCGCGGCTTTTATAATAAGAAGCGGATTTGAATGTCCTAAGCGCCAGTACATCTTGCGAGCAGGCTGGATTAAGAATCCGCCCTTGAAGACTTTTTCTAGACCGTTATATTCGGAGATTAATCTCATTGATTTCGAGATTTAAGGCTTTAGTGGCAAAACATTGTCCAATTTCGACAGGAAACGTCACACGAGATCTGAAAATGTTATTTTGTTCTGATCTAAGCATATATCCCTTTGGAACACTTGTGCCAAAATGTCAAGACCTTTAAAACTCCAGAGAGTAAATCACAGCAGAAAAGCTAGCTCTCAAAAAACAAATTCTTAAAAAAAACCGTGACGAAATGGCGCACTGACGTTTTGGTCCAAAAATCTATATTGAAATCAAGTTTAGACTGTGCAACTAATCCAATTCTCTCTCTTTTTTTTTTGTATTTTTTTTCTTTGTCTGTTGTCCGTATGTCTACTGCAGGTAACTGACGACTGCCGGGACGGGATGAGACGGGGCTGGTCCAGTTTGATAATTTGCATAGTTTTAATTTTAAATCTAAAAATTAATGTGGCCTGACGTTGCGAACTTAGCAAGTTCTTCTTCAGAGGCTAAAACAGAAATGACAGAGGTACATACATTAACATGGGGGTGCAAAAGAAGGAACAAAACAAAACACAATGAAACTTACATGTCAGCAAGGAGGATCACCACGAAGGGATACTGCAACAGAGAAGTTGGAAGAACTTGCTAAGTTCGCAACGTCAGGCCACATTAATTTATAGTTTTCAGCAGTCTTACTTTTTTCAAGTTTTAATTTTAGTGTTTTTGTGTGCATGTTTCATGCTTGTGCTCTTTTGTGGGCCCTGTCTTGTGATGTTTGTGCGCGTGTTGAAGTCAAAGGCTTTCTTTCCAAAATGCAATAATGTGTTCTGGTGCTTAGCTGTGAAAATAGTTTCTTTCTGAAAAAAAAACCAACAAGGTGATTGGTTAAGTACTGTATAAATAAACTTTATATATTCAATTTGACTTAATAAATAAACAACCAAAGAATACGAGTACTAATTTAAGACGCACATATACAGACAGCCACAGAAAATGTAATGCATAGTACTACTGAATTTGTAGGGACAGAGATTTAACAAGGTAAAAAAAAACACCTTGAACGTGGGCAATTCTCCTGCGTCAATTTTTATACCTAATACACAGGATACAGAATGTCACTTCTGAAGACACGCATAAGTGGTGCGGTTGAGTTTAAAGCAATATAACAGATGTAGGGCGTCCGCGTTTTCTACAGAGAATATTTTGGGACCGCGTTGTGAAACGCCTACTTTCAGACAAAAACAGGATCGATCCGAATCTCAATGTGCCTCTTCATGGTATCAACAGAGCAACAAGCCAGGAATATCGATGTCTTTTGGGAAAACTACAACATTTGTTGAAGGTCACGGGGCGTCAAAAATCCCCAACGAGAATTATAATTGTTCTGCAGATGCAGACCACATTCTTATGCCTGGTTTTGCAGTTACCATCAACTTTGTGGGGCTGGGGACGGTCGAAATTCCCACGAACTAGACTCCAAATGCTCCTTAAGGGGAATGATACAACATTTGCAAACATAACAAAAACGAAATGATCCAATTCTCAGGAAATACCTCACTGGAATGTTAGGGAATGACAGTCTAAAGCATGCTGTAAAATCGTGGCTCCTGGTGTGCTGAAATTTCTAAGAAAAATAGTATTTTTCCAACGCTGGTCAGCCGTCCAGCGTTGGAGAAAACTGGCTTTTTTTTCTCAAAAACTGCTCCTATTTTTTCATATTTAGTTGTTCTGCATTTTCTTTGCAATTGATTACACACCTGTGAAGGAGTGCAAGCCTGCTAGACTGTTACTGACCTTACAAAAATTCCCAAGGTCTATAAATTGCTCCGTTTCATCTTAAGAGGGGTCAGGGAGGCAGACTACAAGAACATGATTGGTTTTCTTGGTTTTCCGGCATCTCAGAACCCAAAACGTGAAAAAAGTCAGTTTAACAATATTTGCTATAGCATACTAATACTCCAAATCCATTTATTTCTCAAAATGGGCAAAAGCAAAATGTTGTACATTCCTATACCTTCCCCACAAACACGATTCCGATTAGGGCACATGTATTTCAACAACTACTGGCAAGCATTGGGGCCGTATTTCACTATGGCACTGCTTAACAAACAAAATATATAGTACTAAGAAATTTCCAGTACTAAGCAGAAATCAGCTGGGTGCCAGGCACATGCTGTATAAATCTATAATGACATTTTCGTTGGTAACCTGTTTTGTTGAGCACTAGCTTTCGGACTTAACCAATTTCTCTGCTTACAGCTCCATTGAAATTTGCCCATGTCTTGTGCTCGGTAGCTCACAGTAAATTTTACGCTCAGTTTCTCTATGCAAAACATTCAGACACCTTCTAAAGGGACGATATTCTTTAGCAATTATTTATCAGAGTTCGAGATGGGTTTGGGAGGGCTGAATGGGGTCCGGAGGGGGGAAGTTTTGGGTATCAAAGGAGGGGATAAGGAGTAACAAACAGATCGATATTCCGATATCGATCGGACATTCAGCCTGGATTTTTTTCATTTGAGTGTTGGTCAGCCTTTTTTGGTCGAGACTAAGGACCGGTTTTTGTATAAGACTGACAGGGAAATAAGGGGCTTGCTATTGAGTTTTTAAGCTTGGCAGGAGCTTCTTCTTGTCACTTGGTGGTCGGTCGGTCGGATGGTCTCTCTCTCTCTGTCCGTCCCAAGAAAATTGCCCAAAAATACGGTTTTCCCTAAATGCCATCGGATCATCATTGATCGATTTCATGCAAGACTGCACTCGCACTTGACGGATTTGCATTTAACTTTTATGGTACAAAATAAAATGTGCACATGGTCCATGGAATGTAGTCGGCATTCCAAGACAGTGGGCAAAAGTTTGTGAGGAATTAGGTTTCGTGTTTTTATCCATCCTTATCTTTTGTACTTTTGTAACTTTTTTAAAACTCATTCATTCATTAAAGTATCGTTGGATAACAATCAGGATTATTGTCATATTTTATATATATGGTTGGGATAAACTAACAGGTGTTGTGTCTATTCTAATTGATTGAGTCAATTTTATTTAATTGTTTTTAATTCCTACAACATCCTACAAAGGAAAACGCCTATAACATGATGGATGGAAACAATTTGATTAAATAAAATTATTTTAATTATAAATGAATATTAACTGTTGGAATACATTACTACAGATGTATGGATGGGATGGTCCTGCATAATGTGAGTGCGCGCCCAAAGAGTGATGTATCTTTTTATATAGTAAGGCAGACAATAAAAGTAATAATATCGGAGTCTTATATAGCGCCCGTATCTACCAACAATTAGGTACTCAAGGCGCTGGAAATTATGTCTATTATTCAAGACAGGTAAATGAAGTCTATGAGAAATGTGAGACCCATTATGTAGCACCTTATTAATGGTTTACAAGGTGCTGCGGTGCATATTGCAGCCACTGCCAGAAACACCGGGGCAAACCCCTTCTCTTAGCGGTAAGTGTTACTGGTTTCTTTAACGTGCATTACACAACACACGGGACCTACGGCTTTACGTCCCATCCGAAAGATGAAGCAATAATGGT